CCGTTCATGTAATACGCCCGCCCCCTACATAGACCTTTAGGATGGAAAGCAACACCCAAACTGAGTTAGCGGCACCGTTCCCTTGTTCGTCTGCTGGCTCAGAGCAACAAACGCACTTTGTGCTGAGGTTTCTGGAGTCAGCGCTGCTTTCAAACGTGAACGTGAGTCAGCTCGGTGTCGTTAATCATTTTTACCGGGCTGACTCCGACACATGCCGGTGAACCAACCCACCTTCTTGTCGCTAGTGTTAGCCCCAGGCTCCGGTTAGCTTCCAGCTAAAAGGCTACAGCACTCTCCTCCCAGTCCCACCCTGCTAAAGAGGGCCTGGAAAAGTTCCCCCACACATCAGTGATTTTTCATTTATGAGCTTTTATAACCGTGTTAATCAGGATAGTTGATTGGCTGCTGCACATAAACTGTCAGTCAGAAGCTCTGCTAGCCGGTTATCTTAGAGGAGCTAGTTCAATTTGTTAGCTTGTTATCAGAATCATAGTTGCAGTTTCATCATCTGAGCTGCTTTTTAAGATCTAGGTAAACTTGTTCAATTTGGGATTAAAAACAAACGTTTTCACATATTTTCCATGTAGTTTTTTTTACCAGTTCCTCTTCTGAAAGGTAGACAATTGTTTTTCTCTTTCCCTCAGAAAATCTTAATATTCTCCTAGTTTGGCCCAGCACAGTTCACTTCCCAATTACAGCAACAGCCTTATATCATAACCACATAAGTGGTTCTCTCATGCTCAGTAGCAATGAGAGAATTTGCTGTTGCATTTAAGTGATGTTAACTATTATTTAACATTTAAACTTATTTTCTGATTTTTATTTATTCTAAAAACCCTGGTAAGGGATGTTTTTCTGTATTTGGAGCATCAGAAAAAGTTTTATGGTGGAGGTGATGTTTTAAAGTCACTGAGAAACTGCATGCATGCAGTTTGTTGTTTTGCTGCTAATTCAGTAGCAGGTGCAGCTGCATATTTTTGCAATAAAAATGTTCTGTTGTAATGGAATTCATGCATTAGTTTTTGTTTGATTTGAACCCAGAGCAGACGTCACACGCCAGACGACATCAACACTGCATACTTTAGTATTTGTTCATTTATCGCGAGTAATATAGATATCGCAATACTAAGCACTGTTATCGAATATCACAGGTTTTCCTAATATCGTGCAGCCCTAGTTTTTACTGTTTTTTTTTTTAAGTCACAGAACGTTGCGCACTAGGATGATGTCGACGCCAAAACAACCAAAACAAAACAGAGACTCGCCTCTTACATCAGGCAGAACCCGTGTGCTTCGAGCGTGATCCGTTCTTTCATGATCCGTTGTCGAATTGTGATTGGCAGACGCTTTTCCGGTTCGCGCCTCACTTTTTTAACAGGAACGGCCCAAAACGATCTCTAACACATGGATGCTCTGCTTTCTGATCATGTGACGTATGCGGATGAAGATCGGCTTCAGAGCTGAGATGTTTGTTCTCTCAGCGCGGGGGCTTGTTCCGATGCCCACACAGTAAAAAAAAAAAAAAAAAAAAAGCTGAACGGTTGGATCTAAAATGACAGCTTTAGTCGTCAATGGCAGTGAATGAGTTAATTGCTAAATAGCCAAAAGTTTTAGGTTTTTATTGAAAGAAATATTTTAAGTATGTTTTTACTTTTAAAGCTGATAACAAAGTTTGCCTGTCCACACTGAGACTGGAGCATAAAGAGTTGACATAGAATGGTGTGAAGTCTGCTTTCCTGCTTGAAATGCTGTGAACATGATGCAGAAATATGTTCATTTGACTGCTGTTAAGAAAATTACAGAAACGGTTGTAGGTTGTAAATTTTACCCTTATCTTTAATAGTTTAAATTCAGTTTATTTTATTATTTTCACATTAAAATGCCTTGTTATATGGTGGTTTAAGACTGAGATCCTCATCTGTGCCCCAGACAAGCTGGTTCCCAAAGTCAGAGACTCTCTTGGTCAGCTTGCTTCTCACACCAAACCTTCCATCAGGAATCTTGGTGTGACCTTTGACCCAGCTCTCACCCTGGATTCTCATGTCAGTTCTCTTGTTCGCTCTTCCTTCTTCCATCTCCGGAACATTGCAAAGCTGAGTCCCATTCTGTCTCGCTCTGAACTTGAGACAGTTATCCACACCTTCATCTCCTCACGCTTAGACTACTGTAACTCTCTTTTCACGTGTCTGAGCAGAACCTCCCTGAACCGTCTACAGGTGGTTCAGAATGCCTGTGCTCGGCTTCTGACCAAGTCCTCCAAACACACCTACATCACTCCGCTTCTCCAGCTTCACTGGCTGCCAGTCAGCTTCAGGGTTCATTTCAAGATCCTGGTTCTCTTCTATAGGGCCTTACATGGACAAGCACCATCTTACATTGGTGATCTTCTTAGTCCCTACACCCCCAGCAGGTCCCTGAGGTCCAGTCATCAAAGCCTACTGGTTGTGCAGCACCAGGCTAAAGACCAAAGGCGACAGATCATTTGCTGCTGTGACCCCCGGACTCTGGAGCTCTCCCTGCTCTTTCTACCTATTCTGCCTTTCCCTGGATCCACAGATTTCCCCATTTTCCTATTCATTTTCTATCTTCCTTACATTTTTGAAATATTTTTTTTCCTCATTTAAATCATTTTTTATATTTTAATTTTTTGTTTTTGTGAAGCGCCTTGTGATTTTTATCTTGAGGGGCACTATAAAAGATCTGTCTGTCTCTCTATCTCTCTGTCTGTCTCTCTTTTGCTTTCTTTAACGGATTAAAAAAATCATAAATGTCATCAGTATTTACATTTTAACCAATACAGTAAAAGGTTTCTCTTTGTTGCTTTTGTAGGGTTTAGGAAATTGAGTGCTTTAAGAGCTCAATATATATACTACCTCTACTTATGTCCAATAAGCTGTGATACTCTTATCTAAATATAGAACATCAACCTGCTTGGTCTTTGTGTGTTTATCAGAAGATTCTAGGATTCTTTATTTATTAGGGAATTGTACACGCTTTGTTTTGATTCAGAAAAGAGTCAGATTTTTAAAAGTAAGAATTTATTTTACCAACAATTAAAACATGACAAGTTAACTAACATTTACTGTGATGGATGGAACTAAATGTGATGAATGAACCTAGGTGTGAATGCGATGTCATCAGAACTTCCGTATCTAGGAGAGCTGAGTTCTGGATGTAAAATAATTTGGTTTGCGTTAAGCTATGAAGTTGATTATTATCAAACGCACATCAGACGCTATCTGTGTGTCTACTTCACCCGTTTTTGGAGACCCTCTTCGTGGATCCGAAGGTCAGAGAGGTTGGATGACCTCTGGCACCGAAGGGCTGTAGAAAACGGTGGCACCGACTCTTCAGTCCAGAGACGTCTCGGATCACGACAGATGGATGGAACCGCGTGTCTGGGACTCTTTAAGGAGTCGGATCAATATCGGCTTGTTCTGCAGGAACTGTTGCTGTATCAGCTTCACATGTGCCAAAAGATTTTGACGACGTGTCAAAAGCTTTGATGGTTAAAGAGGTCTTGTTTCAGATGGCCGGTCTGAAGCTTTTCTCAAGAACTGATGAATCACCAGAGATATCCAGTTTTAATGTTCTCATGTTATGATTTGTGTAGCCAACCAGAGGCTGACAAGTTGAGGAATATTACCAAGACAACTCAGAAACACGCCGCCCTTGATCCGGATGCTCTGATCTGGGTAAAGGCAATGTGTCATGAGTTTAACTTAACTTTAGTTTGTTCTTGTGTGAGTGCAAATGATGATGACCTTGTCATATAAACATGCTGAAACATATTTCAATCACTGTAATCATAACATGACATTCATTTCATACTTCAATCATTGAGCACAGATGAATGAAACATTTCATTATATTATAATTATTATAAGTAGCAATAAACAAACATTTATTTAATGATTATCTAGCTTATAAGTTGTAGAATTTCATATTTAATTTAGGAAATCATTCTTTGATTTAGCAACTGATCCGAGCTGCGAGTGTTAGGCTTGAACAATCCTGTAGGGCGATAAGGATGGACCTTGAGGAGAGAACATTATTGTTGACATTTCGTTATCATGTGTTCAGAGCTGCAGAGAGGCTCTGAGCGCCAGCTGATGGGATGAAGGCAGGCCAATTTAAAGGGAACACATGCAGTCGTGTGTCTCCTTTTGACCAAATGTTGAATGGTCAACCTAAAAACTGACCCTTGCTGGATGTTACACTTTATTACAGTGCTGTGTTGATATAGAGGCTTTTAGTTCCTGTAACTAATTTATTCTTTGTTGTAACAGACTTAAGCACATCACTGGGGGAGCTGTCATTAGTCAACATAACTTATTCACTTTCTGTTAAAAATAATTCATTAATCCTAAAGGGAAATTAAATCTTCTAGTGGTGTGTAAATTATACTGCAGGATTAAAATAGCTCTATAGCTGGAGCATTGAGGTAAAAGTAAGTCACCACCTCCCCTCAGGCCTCCAGACTGCAGAAACCTTAAAGGAGTTCCAGATTTCTGCTGTTTTGTATCTGTGAAGCGCACCTGCAATCAGTTTTATTCTCTTCTTCTGGGGAAATTTTTGTTGTGCGTTTGCATCCACACCTGCTGACACTGTTTGCGTTGTCAGTGGAAACACTAAATAATGGACCCAGCCTGAAAACAGAGTTTCTGATGACTTGTTTCAGAAACAAATGTGAAAATGGCTCACAATACTGTGGATGTAACCACCTCCACCCAGCCAAGCTCCAGCTTGTGATCAAGCTGCGCACGAGTCAGTAGAGATGCCATGGCAGCATCTCCCATTACCACAAACGATCTGCTCACACAGATACGTACGTGTGTGTGTGTAATCATCAGCGTGCCATTAGCTTTTTCATATACAGTGACAGTCCTCGACGGTGGTAGGACACACAGGCCTCTCTGTTGTTTTCATTTGTGTAGTGAAGCTGTTGGATTGACTGACAGTCTGAACTTTCTCTCCCCTCTCCCTCATCCCTCTGCCAGCCCGTGGCCGAGCCCATCCCCATCTGCAGCTTCTGTCTGGGCACCAAGGAGCAGAACCGCGATAAGAAGCCGGAGGAGCTCATCTCCTGTGCCGACTGTGGCAATAGTGGTGAGTGTTGCTCTGAAAACTGTAAATGCAGAGTTTTATATCAGGGAATTGCTCCACACCTGTTTACATTTCTACCTCATTTATGCTGCCGGTAGTTTAGCTGCTCTTAGCCTTAGCCGACAGTCTCCATCTGTTTACCTGGTGCTTTGTTGGCTTTTAGGCAATACCCTTCAGGTAACATCTGGCCCTCTCACACTGACATCCCTACCACTGCGAGGATTTGTTCAGCGTTAGCAGATCAAGTCTGAACTTTTACCTCAGTCAGCAATTACCTTTAGCTTTTCCTCACTTAGCTGCCATTTTGATGTCTTTACCTACTTCCTGTATGTTGCCACCGCCACTCCTTTTTCCCATCAGCAGATTTTTTTAGAGCTATTCTGCATTCAGTGTCTTTGTTCAGCCTCTGATTCAGTTCTGAGATGTTTGCAGTAGGGCTAAAACAAATCATCGAATGATTCAAATGGTTTGATTCCATAAATTCCTCAATTCATTTTTTTACTGATTTGAAGCTTCATTAAATGTGCGCACCACAGTCTGTGTGCGTTTTACTGGTGCTCTACGTGGTTATCTAGGTGCTGTGGAGAAAAATGGAGAAACCAGCAAAGACAGAAGCCATTGTAAAAGGCAGAGACGGTCCAAAGTCTGGGATCAAGCGTGAAACTTCGAGCAGAATTGCTAATGCTAAGCTAGCAGGTAGCATTCTCACGAGCAAGTCCACAAGCGGAAGAAAAATCCCCACCATCCCGTTTATATGTGGATATGTGCAGCGGTGTGGGGCAGAGCTGCTGTAGCTACCTGAAGTCAGTTTGTTGGTACAAGTCTGCTCCAGCCACAGCAGCAGGATCATGGCAAGCCGTTGTAGCATATAATTCACTAACGCTTTGACAATTGAATACAATTTAGACATTGCCAACCCGTATGCAATAAAATATATATACCACTGTTACATTTTTATCAGCAGGAATTAAATATTATTAGCATTTCCAGTAGCTTACAACAGGTTGATGAAATAAATTAATTCCAGTGATTTATGTGAATATATTTGGATATGGTAATTTGACTAGGATGAGGTTAATACAGACATAAAATGTGAATGAAATGCAAGTCAAATTTTGTTCCATAAAATATTTCTTAACTATAAATATCAGCTGGGAAAGAGAACACCAATTTAATTTATATTATTGTGCCTTTTATAATTTAGCTGTTTACATGTTTTTAGCAGCAGACCATGATCTCGTTTCACTTGAAACGTCGTCAAATAGAAACTCGACTAATCTCTGGAGTATTCGATAGAAAACTCAAATATTAAAACATACGTTAGCTGCAGCCCTAGTTTGCAGTATGATTATTTCTATTAATGTTTTGATATGATATGTAGAGTTCCTGCTCAGGCTTGACTCTGAGGTTGACAGCAGAGCAACAATAGTACCTTTCCTCTTCCCTCAACAGGTTCTTGCTCCAGACAGGCCTTCGGGTTTGTTACTATTTCAGAAAAGCAAAAGCTCTTTTCTGACACGCTGTCATCTATGTTTAAACACTTACCTTGCTTCAGCGGGAGCTTTTAATTCCAAACAGAGTTTCCTTTCCCCCCTCCCTTTTACAGAGAAGCAAGTGTACCAGAGCTGTCCATCAGCATTGATCATAAATTAAAGTGTGTAACGTTGATGCACGTGTGTTTATGTCTACCTGCAGGCCACCCGTCCTGTCTCAAGTTCTCCCCAGAGCTCACAGCACGAGTCAAGGCGCTGTGGTGGCAGTGCATTGAATGCAAAACTTGCAGCAGCTGTCAGGATCAAGGAAAAAATGCGGTGAGAGGATGAATAAACATGGCGGACTGGCAGCTTGACAACATTTCTGGATGCTCTCATCTTCACTTAAGTGTCAGATAGCATTGCTGATAGAAATGTCTGTGGTCCTGGGGCTGAGCTATTTCTGTCAGCCGCTGCAGGATTTTATTCTTTAGAGCAAGGAGTCATTTGTTATGTGTTTGAGACGTCCAGCAGCGAGAGGGACCTCACAATTTACTGCAGGAACAGATGTTTAAAGACTGGTGTCGTTTTTTTTTTTTTTTGCATCGGTTTGTTATAAAGTCTTATAAAGGTAATCTGAATCCCGTATAACACTGTTAATCTGTTGGTGTAGGACAACATGTTGTTCTGTGACTCGTGTGATCGGGGCTTCCACATGGAGTGTTGTGATCCTCCACTCACCCGGATGCCTAAAGGTAAACAGACATGAAAATTACATAACGTTGATTAAAAGCGGCATTCAGGCAGTCCTGTGAACAGTGTGTTTGTAATATTTTTTAATTTACATCACAACAAAATTAGGTGCTAAACAAAAACACATGCTTGTAAACATCATGTGTGTGAAAGTAGCTTATTCTTGCTCCTAAATTCACTTCATATCTGTCTGATACGCTCTTCCATCCTGCCCCCTGTTACCTACATATCGGTGAAACTCAAATAATTACAACGCGGTGCAAAAGTTCAGTTGTTTCAGTAATTCAACTTAAAGGCGAAATGAAAATATGAGAGACTAGGACTAGGCAATACATATTTTTGAAATATCAATATATCTAGCAAGATGACCCAGTAACATTTATATCAGTGTAAATGTTCAACCAGCAACTTTCTAGAGTTAGCTGCTGTTGCTAAGGCTAGCTTGCTTCTTGTCCCGTCTCTAAGCCGTCATTACACGTATTCTCAGAGCACAATTATGTTCTAGATTTGGTCATCATCACTTTAAAAACTCTGCCCGGCCTGACCCACATCTGGTAGTGGATGATGCCTTTTTGTCCAGACGAGAACAAACTACTGGTAATATTGTGAATGATAGGATACGGGCCACCCCTGGATGGAATTGAAAGTATCTTACATGAATTATAAATATATAAAAAATGTTTTGAGACATTTAGCTGCATCTCTTAACTGACCTGATGGATGGATAATATGTTATAAATGTTACCATGTAAAACACATAAACCTACGTGTGTTAACAGTAGGGCTGCCACAAAGGATTATATTAATAGTCATTTACTATTATTAATTATATAATAATGAAAAATGACTAGTTTTTTGGGGATTAGTCAACTAATCTTGTCGTACGTGTAGCAGATTCTAGTTTATCAGCTTTGAAATGATTAACATGAAATGGAAATGATTTAATAAAGGTTGCTAGAGGTGAAACCGTCTCCTGTGGACCAGCTAAAACATCTCACAGCAGAACTCATGCATCTTCTCTTTCTGTGTCAGGCATGTGGATTTGTCAAATCTGCCAACCCAGGAATAAGGGAAAGACGCTCTTGCACGAAAAGGCAGCCCAAATCAAACGGCGCTACAGCACACCGCTGGGACGGCCCAAGAACAGGTACGGGGCTCAGTCTGGTTTGGTGCCGTCAGCTCCTGCTGTAAACCACTCACATGCTACACAACTGCAGGACTGAAGTTGTCATCATTAAAATGCTGTAGAGTAGGCCTGGGCGGTATGGCAAAAATGTCATATCACAGTATTTTTTTTAAATTACATCGGTTTTACGGTATTTGACGGTTTTTTTCTCAAGGCCGTGATTACCCAGATTATTTCTATAAGAAAATAATTGCTGCACTAGATTGGCCTTAAATAGCCCGTTTTACCTTCATGTGCAGAATACCAGTTTTTCCATGTCCAGTCACAGGTAGGTAAATGCAGAAACCCCCTCAAAGTATCCTTGTCAAAAGAAAGCAGTTAAGAAAAAACCACTAGAAAGATAAAATATTGCAGTCAAAATAAACTATTTTTATTGAACACATATAATCTGTGCAGTTAACCATCTTTATGATTTCACATCCAACGTTATTGCGTTGGTTATCTCGACCCACCGCTTGCTTTTTTTTAAATTATAAACAGTCCCTTTAGCGAACGCGTAATTAATGGACGTCTGTCTCTGACTGCTACTAGCCATTTTAGCCTCGGAGGTGGAGGGTGCAGATCGAAGCTTGAGACATTCTTGGTAATCCAAGACGTGTTTTCGGCTGAGGTGATGAAGCAAGTTGCTGGTGTTACCCCCGCCGGCTACCACCGTTGCTCGACAGCATTTGCATATAATAGTTGTTTACTCCACGTCCGAACTTTTAAACCCGAAATACCTCCAAACAACAGACGTGGTTCCTCTTTTTTGAATAAGTTCTTCTGCGTTCGAAGTTTCGATGTCGCTGTGACAGCTCCCGCCAGCCGCCATTCTCGGTTTCACCACACTGTGGTGTTTGTGTGTAGCAGTGAAACGAGGCCCCGCTGAAACACTTTCCTACTACGAACGTTCTGTACGTTGTTTAGGCCATTCATCGGTATAGCGGTATGTGAAAAATTCATATCATAACCAAAATAAACACCGGTTTTTGGTATGAACCGGTATACCACCCAAGACTACTGTAGAGTGAAAACAGCTCGTCTTGTTTACCTGTCCACACAATCTCAACTGGACCTCCGGTTCCCCCCACAGACCGGGACGGCCCTTCAAGAAGCTGAGTGGTCGTGGTCGTAGGCGGCGCTCCACTTCAGCCAACTCTTCCTCCAGTTCTTCCTGTGAAGGTTACCCTGGCGACGACCGGCTGCTCTTCTCAATGCGTGGCGACGATGAGCAGTCGCATAGCAGTCTGCACTTCAACAACAAGACCAAGGGTCTAATCGACGCCCTCACAAAGTTCTTCACGCCGTCGCCGGAGGGCCGTAAGGCTCGACAGGAGGTGGTGGATTACTCACAGCAGTGCCGCATTCGAAAGAAATCAGGTCGTAAAGGAGAAGACGACGACCGGGGAGAGGATGGTGAGCTCTGTTCTCATTGTTTTGTGCTTAAACACTAGAGAAGAAAAACAGTTGTAGCAAAATGATTAAAATATAAGTGAATCCAAATTATTGCCTGTTTCTTTTTGTGGCACAGTCTAGACACGACTTTAGAAAACAAGTTTTCTCCTCACAGCTTCACTCTCACACTTTTCTTGCAGACTCAATGTTTTCAAATGAGATTATAATCCAGCTGTGCTTAACTAATCTGGAAACAGTAAAGAAATAAAGATGGCTGCATAGTATTCAAAGTAGGGCTGCTCTATTAATTGAATTTTAATCAGTATTACCTCTTTACACAGTAGCTAAGTTGCAAACTTGGCAACGTTGTCACTATTCAGACCCCCGTTGTAACTTTTTCCCCATAAGCACCATGAGCATGATGGGGAACAACCTATCAACATTTCCGATGACCAGAGGTGGAAAGTAACGAATTACATTTACTCACGTTACTGTAATTGAGTAGCTTTTTTTTGTATATTTATACTTTTTAAGTCGTTTTTAAAATCTGTATTTTTACTTTTACTTGAGTACATTTTTTAAAACAATTGTAATTCGCTACATTTTAAATCATATCCGTTACTGAGTAGAAATAAATTATAGGCTTAATAAATTAAAAACATTATGAGTAGCAGCGTCGGAACAGAAAGAGACTCCTGCATGAGCGCCACGTCTAAACCGTGGGGGGGGGGGGGGGGGGGGGGGGTGTACACTTCTGCTCAAAAACATTAGTTCAGTCCCTGTGATCCACTTGCTGTTCACCCCCTCTCTCCCTCCTCTCGTGGGTTGGAACACGCACCTTCGCGCACCGGTGTGACGTCATCAGAATTCTGCTCGGTTCGGTAGCCAGACTCGGTTCCGTGTTTGAAATGTGTTTCCCTACCGCTCCGCACGGAAGCGGCAAAATAACGTTTAGCACTCATAACAAGCGGATTATCAGCGCTTTGCTCATAAAACAGAAGACCTGCAGGCCTCTGTGAGTTAAAACATCCTGATACTGTTCAGGTGTAAACATTGTGCTCCATCCCTGTGTTTGAACTCAAGATGCTCCTTGATGCCACAGATATGTGACGATTTAGCTTGTTTCTTTATTTTACTCCAGAATTGGAGACTAAAGTACTACAAAAGCAGTTCAATGTAGTTAAATTAGTCATTCACATGATTCTAACATGCTGCAATGTGTGTGTGTGTGTGTGTGTGTGTGTGTGTGTGTGTGTTTGTGTGTGTGTGTGTGTTTGTGTGTGTGTGTGTGTGTGTGTGTGTGCGCGTGTGCGCGTGCGTGCGCGCGCACACACAGAAGCGTGTTGTGAACTGGTGTTGTGGTTTTGCACTGATGTAACCATCTTTACACTGACAAAAATGTAACTAAGTAATTTTTACTTTGAGTACATTTTATTTACGATACTTTTTACTTTTACTTGAGTAAAAATTATCAAAGTATTGGTACTCGTACTTAAGTAGGAAATTTTAGTACTCTTTCCACCTCTGCCGATGACCCTTAGATACTTTCTGTAAAACGTCGACATTTCCTGCTGGTTAGCAAAACGCCCAGTCTGCGCGCCAGACTGGCTAATCATAAACCTTTCTCGGTGGATCTCACTCGCTCACAAAATCAGCTGTTTTACAAGATAAATAAATTCAAGACACAGCGAACCACATCTGAAGTGGGTATTTATTTAGTCAGAGCTGCAAAGTTTCACAAGGAGCATGGGATGCATTTGACTGTCTTCATGCTCTCTCATGTCACACCCCCTGTTGCTCACGCAGATAAATAATAGAAGTTCATCTATCTGAGCGACATGTTGCATCATGCCACTGTGCACACTCACTTAGTTAAAGATTGTGTTCAATAATCAAGATCTCAATTACAGTCAAAATAATCTATCATTTTTGCCATAATCAAGCAGCCCTAATTTGAAGCAAATAGTTAGGATTAGGATGTCTGTTGTGAACAGTACAGCACCTGCTGGTCTAGATTTGTGTTAATTTAGCTCGACATTTCCATCTCCAGACAATCAGGACAGCAGCGACTGGCACGAAGATGAAGACAAACTGCCGGGACACGAGAATCTGACTGAAAAAGACATTGAGCTGTTCAGACACATCCAGGATCTGGCTCTACAGGTACGAAGACCCAGCTATGGGCTCAGGAGTCTGGTGGGTTGTTGAGAACCGACTCTTATAACAGATAGTCCTTTTCTCCACGGAGCGCCCACCTCCGTGGGTCAAAACACGATGAGCTGCTAGACAGCTGAGTTTTCTGGAATTTGGGATGGAACAGCTGCATGGATATTAAAATCATCAGTCATGGCCCAGTCATACAATAAAAGTACCGACACAAGGGTTTGGTTTAAGCAACCAGTAGATGCAAAGGCCAAGAGTGATTGTTGGATAAAAGCTTTGTTGTAGGTAATTATGCTGAGATGTCAGCAATAGAAATGAGCTTGAACTTTGCATTTACTTGTGATTGATGGTGAACTCTGTCACGTACTTGGAAAGACAGGCTAGTGCAAACAGCCTGAAGTGTATGGCTGTTCTCCCACGTCTAGGGTAGGAAAATGTATCGCTTGTGTCCTGACGGGTCAGCCAGTAGTTAAAGAGAGAAAACATAAATTCATTCTTAATGTTTGAGGCTTATGTGCTGCAGTTAACCAACGTGCCAGAGGACATTTGCCAGCGTCACGCGAGTAGCAGTAAAACAGTCTTACACCCTAAACCAAACACCCCCGTGTCTGATGCTGGCAGGGCAATTATCGAACAGTTAACGGAGTGTGCAGGTCTTAGCTTTTCGACAAATCCCCCTGAAGCTGCAGAGTAATGCAAGCAGGAAGAATCAACATTTCCCTGTGTGTTTGGGCTTGTATGAAAATGTCACATGCAGCTGTATACAGCTCTGGGGTCATGTTTCCTCCATCCATGAGATGGCATTTTCTGCACTTATGAACCTGGACTTGACTTCTCTCCCACTGCTTCATTTATCTCAACAGAAAGTTGGTGTGACGGGTCCCCCCGACCCCCAGATGCGCTGTCCATCAGTCATTGAATTTGGCAAGTTTGAAATCCAGACTTGGTATTCATCTCCCTATCCACAAGAGTACAGCAGGTAAGCAGTAACCACCTGTCCCTTTCTCAGAGCCTTGTTGTAGGACCAACAACTGGGATCCCAGAGCCAGCCCTGCCTGCTAGCATGTCTCACCTACTTAGACACGTTACCAGGCAGGGCCAGAAAGCTCTTTTTACCAGGTCTAAATCTGTCAGGTTAGCTGTCAACGACGAGTAAGCACTCTGGGCCAGAGCCAACGGGCAGCTGCAAACCTGTGAATATTCTGCTGTTGTCCCGTCCAGACTACCGAAGCTCTACCTGTGTGAGTTCTGCCTGCGCTACATGAAGAGTCGCAGCATTCTCTACCAGCACATGAAGAAGTGCAGCTGGTTCCACCCTCCAGCCAATGAGATTTACAGGAAGGACGACGTGTCTGTGTTTGAGGTGAGACGCTTTTCGGCAGAACGGGATGGAGAATAATGGAGGGAAATGAAAAGGCTGAATGTATTGCATGGTAAAAATTAAAACTATCATTTCATGTTGTGCTGTTGCTTACATCATTAAATCCAAGCCAGTCTTGTTCCTAACTCATGACCTGTGTAGAGGAATGTTTTAACAAGTTTTTTATTGTGTGTTTTTTTAGGTGTAGTAGTGCAGCGGTGCATGACCAATCACCGAGGCCTCTCCTGCTCTCTACTTGTTTCTCTCTGGATTTCTTTCTGTCGTGTTGCTTAGAAAATTTGTGAAGATCCCAGTTGCTCCTTTAACTTCCTGCTAAACCTCACTTCGTTTTTGAGGAGCAGCTTAAACGTGTGATTAAAGCAGTGGACTAATTGAGCTCTTCTGGGTATTTCTAACAGGTGGATGGAAATGTGAGCACAATATACTGTCAGAATCTGTGCTTGTTGGCTAAGCTGTTTCTAGACCACAAGACTCTCTACTACGACGTGGAGCCCTTCCTTTTCTACGTCCTGACCCAGAATGACAGCAAAGGCTGCCACCTAGTTGGCTACTTCTCTAAGGTACAGTAGTGTCGGCTTGTTTTCCTTAAAGAGCAAGTAGAAACCGTTTTTACGAGTTTCACATGCAGGCTGAACGTGGAAATAGTCTACTACCCCTATTTCCTGCATTAGCCGAAGACGGGGAAACTCGGGTTAGAAAAGCTAGTGATGTTGGCACATCATAATGTCAAGTTAGCATTCAAGGTCTCACCCATCTCTGCTCATGACGGGGAAGGTTGATTGTGCACCCAGGAGAGAGCAGAGCACGTCTCTGCTAGTAGAAGCTCACAGTTAGCGTTAGCAACTCCACAACATGGCAGAACTCCTTCAGACTTGTTATTTGTGGAGATAAAACGTCAGCATTGCAGAGCAAACAGGGTTGAGGCTAGTTTATACTTTTTTCATCTGCATCGGTGTGGAGACATGTGGCGTCATTATCCGTCATCGAAGGGGCTCTCCAATAGGCTCAAGGATGGACGGAATCGAGGCCACTTTTATAAATAGCTGTCAAAAGCGACAGACCGCAAGGCTGTGGTTGGTCAGGGCGCTGCTTCTTTTAACTTCATCAACAGCCCCACCCTTCCCCCTCAAAAAAATAAAACGAGAACCCAACATATCTAGCAACAGACTCAGAGCAGGATAAAGAAAAACTTGCAGTAAAAGTCAGATGATATAAATGTTTATACAGTCATGACTAGGGGTGGAACGGTTCACGGGGGAGTGTTGAACCGCTTCGGTTCGGCCTGTTCGGTTCGGTCCACTTGCGTACCGTTTCGTTAAATAATGAATTTTTATTTGCGTGATTTAAGTGCAGCGAATAAAAGTTCCTAGGCAAGTTTCCGCACAGACGCTATATTGAGTGACGCGTGATGGCTGCACACACCCGATCTCCGTTTAACTCTCCCAATGTCCTCATGGGTGACCCCGCCAGGAGAGTTGACCACTGAGCAGGGTTCATGTTTATCCCTTGAGGTCCACGTGGCAGGGGTGAGGAGTGAGCACCACCCCTGCCACGTGGACCTCAAGGGATAACCCATGAACCCTGCTCAGTGGTCAACTCTCCTGGCGGGGTCACCCATGAGGACATTGGGAGGGTTAAAAAAATGTTCTATGCAAATTCTGATAAATGCCTTTCAGAGCAGATCAAACCAGCTGGCTGTCGCTGCTGCTGGAGCCTGTAGAGACGCTGAACAAAGTGTCACATCACCCCTACCCCCCTTCCCTCATACTGTGCCGGGACGCAGTGGCAAAAATTTAAACAAACACAGCAGCTGAACTTTCCCCCTGGGACAACTGATGTAAAGTTTTCATCCTACAACAAAAATACGGCGCGGAGGACGCTCGTTATTTAGTGCGAGTTTTAAAGAAGAAACTCAGGGCGATGTGAGGTGGGTTTTAAGGCTCGCTGCAGAAATAACACGGAGCATCAACAGTCAAACACAACACTGTGTGAGTGCGACACTCATAGCTGCACAAATACTCTCTGAAATAAAGACATCACGCTAGATCAGCAGCCTGTGATGACACCTGGTTCTGCCCACTATAGGAGCCGCTTCAGATGTTAAATAAATATAATTATATACCGAAAATGTATCGGCCCGAGCGCTTCAATGACACTGAACCAAACCGAATATGATGTTGGCGTACCGCTACACCCTTACTCATGACTGAAGGAGTACAAAGAAATGCAGCAAACCTTTTATTTGTGTCAGGAAATGACCAGAAACGTGAGTTTAAAGGAGGTTACCGGATGAAGAGCTGGAGGACAAAGTTGTCGATGTTGAAAAGTCTCTGAAACACAATTTAAACCCAATACAGATGCAACAGCATTGATAGCAGGATACACCAGCAAAGCGCTACGCCCTCTGCTGTTCAATGTTGTTTTTGGCAGGCATCTTAGTTTTAGTCTTAGTCTTGATGACGGAATTGCATTTTGTCTTAGTTTTAGTCGACTAAAATTCAAAAAAGTTTTAGTCCACAAAGATATTTTTTTTGTTTTACAAAAAATGTAACCAAGTATTATTCTCTAACAAATGAATGTATAGGTCAGATGTGTACTGGAGTGAGTTTCTTATCAACATCATTCACTGCCCAGTTTTTTGTCCAGTAAAATAATAATCCACAGATTGGTATCATTTATTTTTTAACTTTATTTATAATCACTATGCTGTACAAAATTTATTGATGCAGATCTGTGCATCATTCTGTAGATTTTCACAAAAGAAATTTAGGATTTTCTTAGCAGAATGGACTCTTAAGGAGCACGCAGACTCTGTACTCTACTATTTAAATAGAAATAAAAAAAAAGTATTTTTTAAATGTATTATTTGAGTTATCAGGCCTCCATCTTAGTGTCTTTAAATGTATATTTTTGCCACCTACATGCAGTAATGTTTTTCCATAGGACTGCAGAATTTATATAAATAACCCAGTTTGGGCTTAAACTGTTATGCTGTTGATTTGAAAAGTAAGAATGTAATTTGATATTAGAAACCAGAGATTAGATAAAATAAAACATTCGTCTTAAACGTGTTCAGATAAAACCTGTTAAAAACTGTCATTTCTTTAATTTTTCCTCCCAAAAGCATGACTTTGTCAGGAACCACACGGATAAGAAATGTGTTAGTATTACGGCCATATTTAAAAGTAGCAACTTTGTCGCTAATAATAGTGTCAGTGAGCGACTGAGCACTGCGCATTCCTGCATTAAGGAAGCGCTGAGCCAAGCTGACTGAAGTTGACTTCCAACCTACATCAGAAATCCACGCAAAAAGAGTGTTCAATCAATCAATCAATCAATCAATCAATCAATCCTTTATTAATCCCAGAGGGAAATTAGAGTTGCGGTACATACAATTCAGATATCAGACATACATGGGCAAGACACATGACAAGAATTGGTGACTGTGGTCATTCGCAACCCGAGTCGCGCTACTTTAATGGAGATAAGAGGGTTACATGAGGATTGGTTCAGGTGGAGGGAAAAAAGGCACTTCAGAGTTACCCTCCACCAGGAGGGCAGCTTTGCTCTGCAAAAAAACACCTCAACAGATATGCAACGGACTTCAGACAACACAACATAACATGAGACTCCAATGGGGGGGGGGCTGGGGGGGCTGGGCTGGGATCAGCCATCTACGGCGCTCATCTACTGTACAGTCACAGGTGGGAGGGAGATCTTGGGAGAAGCAAAGAGCACATTGACTCCTACAGTTGATGACCTCACCAATCCGAAGGCGGGAGGGGGTAGGTTTAGTGCTACGTTGGTGCTGGATTTCTACAATCGAGTAGAACAAACTTTTGAACTTGGCCTTTAATGCCTCTCAGCAAAGCTCCTTTAATCCGAAGAACCAAAAGTCTGTCAGCAGAATTGGGTTTGGGGGTTGCCATTTACACTCCCCACCATCACCAGCATTACCAGTTTAATGGTTTATTGTAGAGCTGGTGATAATTATTTTATAAACTCTATATAACAGAACGGTTTTTGCCTTAGACATTTTTTAAAATGTTATTTATGTAATTTTTACTTTTTCCCTAATAATTATGTATTGGCTCAGAGGCTCAGAGTGAAGGGACAGAGGATGAAAACATTGTGAAAGGTAGCTCTTAGCATTCTTCCCTAATAATAATAATAATAATAATTAGTGATGTTACTTGGAGTAAACGCTTAACTTGTTACCATGTCATAAGTCAGTGTAACAGTCCATATCTTTATGCTGATAACTAAAGTTTGACCTGGTCTGCTGGTGGAGCAGTGTCTCTAGAGATTTGTTAATATGTATTTTGTCATAATTCAGGTGCTCTTGGGGGCCCCCTGCTGGTCCAGGGGCCCTAAGCAGCTGTTTCCTTTGATCATTCAGTACATTCAGATTCCTTGCTGGAAATCATCAAAACATATTTGTGTTGAAATGTTTTCAGTTTCATGGTTGAACTGATGTTTGTTCTGCAGGAGAAGCACTGCCAACAGAAATACAACGTATCATGCATCATGATTCTTCCACAATATCAGCGGCAGGGCTATGGGCGTTTTCTCATTGACTTTAGTAAGAACATCACAGTGCTTCCACTATTAACCAGCATCAACCTAAAACATGAGTAACTAAGTTATAACGTCTTTAATGCTCTGCTCCTTTTAGGCTACTTGCTGTCAAAGCGGGAGGGACAGCCTGGATCTCCAGAGAAGCCTCTGTCAGACCTGGGTCGGCTGTCCTACATGGCCTACTGGCGCAGCGTGGTGCTGGAGTGTCTCCACGAGCTCCATGACCGACGGATCACCATTCGCCAACTTAGCAAACTGACAGGGATCTGCCCACAGGACATCACCACCACCCTGCACAGCCTCAACATGCTGGAGCAGCGAGGAGAAAGGTCAGAGATTAATGAAGACTAGTTACTCATTATTTATCATCTGTTGCTCAAAAGCCTCTTTCGTTAAACAATGCCGCCACTTTGCCACAAAGCTGAGCCGGTGGGGAATCTTGTAGGTGTGGCGCTGGAATTGCAGCTGTGGTGCAGTGCTACGCCTGAGCCTTTGTAGGGGAAACACTGCTGTGTCGATGTTGATTTATAACAACAGTTAAATAAAGTTTTTTTCTAGTAAATATCAGGGATGATCAAAATTGGCCAATTTCTGTGAAAAACGTGATTGGCAAATTCTGATCAATGCCTTTCAGAGCCAAACATACCTGCAACAGCACCAACCGTAGATAAGTACCAACTAGCGAGAAAAGCAGCTTTTTGATCTTCTTTGTCTGCAGCTGTTTTAGTGCTTTTCGGTGCACCGCTGCTGATACAGCGCCCCTGTAGTGGCGTAACGCTGCAACTGCAGTTAAAATAACATCCATGTAGCTGGGGGCAGAGTGAAATCAGGCTGGGGAGCCACAAAATTAGCTGGAGGCGGCCGCCACGCAAATTTGAACGCAGGAAAAACCCGGCATAAACAGATTAGTCGACCACTAAATTACTCATTCAGGAGTCATAATGCCGTTGGTGTTGTGTTTTCCTTCAGACTTGTGCTGGTGCGAAAGGAGAAGATAGTGGCGAACCACATGGCTCGTCTAAAAGCCCGGCCACGGCAGCTGGATGTCGACCCCGAGTGTCTCCGCTGGACTCCGGTCATCGTGACAAACACGGTGGTCTCTGAAACCGACGGAGAGGATGAGGTGGATGAGGATGAAGGAGGAGACGTTCACAAGGAGGTATGTACATTTAGTTTGTGGAATGTAGGAACCCATCTCAAATCTGCTTTACGTTATGTTTGATTATTTTCCTTTACAAAATGTGAACAGGTCAAACCAAGCCAGAAGGTCCTCCCAGCACCCTGGCAAATGCAGCCCAGTGCAGAGGATGAAGAAACAAAAGGCTTTCTGGGGTTTCCCATCAACCAGAGTTCTCCAAATTCCCCCTCCATCCGTGGTCCACCACCTGTCCTAGGGACAAGACCCCCACCACCGACAAATGGAGAACGCAGGCCACGGGGACGTCCGCCCAAAAACTTGCCTTGGGGCAAAATAAAAAACACTGCACGGGTTGGACGGCCACCCAAGATTTGCTTGGCGGAGGAGGAGGAGGACGACGACGATGAGGAGAGAACACTTGGAGGAAGAACAGTGTCATCCAGGAGCCCACTCTCTTTTTTCTCTAGTCAAGCCGAGTCTGCAGCTTTTCACCCGCTGGACATGGCCAGGCACCCCTCAATAACTCCCATGACACGGAGGGGGCGCCCCCCGAGGAAGAAGAGAGGCCCGAAGCCCGGCCTTCCAGAGGGGCCTGCAGACAGACTAACTCCGCCCTCTGTCATGGCCCGATTGAACGATGCTTCACTCATCAGTGGAAGCAGTGATGAAGAGGAGGAGGAGGAGGAGGATGATGAGGAGGAGGATGATGAAGATGATGATGAAGAGGGTAGGGCATGCTCCCCTCCCATTCTCACTAAGCCAGCGCTAGGGCCCAAATGCAAGGTGGGATGCTTTCCTGTTTTGGTTAAAGTTTGTGGTTTTAGGCCGTTTAAACGATCTAATGACGATGTTTCTACCTAGAAGCCTCTGAAGCGGCCTCGTTTTCGTCAGCGCAGCCACCCTCAAAGCAGCGTTGTAACAGAGACCATCTCCGAGACCACGGAGGTGCTGGACGAGCCGTTTGTGGACTCCGACTCGGAGAGGCCGATGCCCAGGCTGGTTGAGGAAACGTCCCTGTGCCGCCCACTGCGCCGCTATCCACCCGCAAGATCAGCCCTGAGGCGGTCTGAGCCCATGCCCAAGAGGCCCTGCCACTCCAGCCTCACTGATTCAGAAGAAGACGGTAAGGAAGCACAGCTCTGATGTGAAGAATCTTTATTATCAGTTAGTTGTATCTATGCAGACATATGCTGACTTTTGCTCTTGGCTTTCCCAGATCTAACACCTGTTCTGAAGCCTGCAGCTGCTCTGACGGCGACAGCATCTGAGTTAACAGAGGCCGGCGCCGACGTCCCAGTCAAGAAGAAAAAAGGCTGGCCAAAAGGAAAGAGCCGAAAGCCACTTCACTGGAAACAACGTGGAAATGTAAAATCACCTGGCGGTGGGCCCAACAGGCAAGCTGAAGACGGCCAGGTTCAGAGTGGGGACCCTCAGCCTCCTAAAATCAAGATGAAGCCCGGCCGGAAGCCCCGGAGCTGGTACCTGCAGCGGGAGGAGGTGGAGAGGCATGATAAGGAAAGACAAAGGATGCTGGAGCAGCAGCTTGGGAAGGATTTCCAGCTGCTCCAGACGGATGATCACAACACAAAACGAGTCTGTGGAACCAACAGGGAGAAGGACTCTGATGATGAAGACGACTTTTTCTCCAAATCCAATGAACAGAAAATGCCCAAAAGGAGAGGGAGACCGCCAAAGAATCGCGCCGTCCACCAGGCCCCGCAGCCTGCACCTAAACCCCCTCCCACCTCTGAGCCCGACGACGACGACGAAGATGATGAAGATGATACTGAAAGAGGCTGGATAGAGGACAAACCAAGCCACCCTCCGTCCCATCCCCTGTTGTCCCCTTCTTCCTCCTTAGCTTCTGGACCACGGGGCCCTCCGTCACGGCCCCAGGATGTTGACATGGGTGACAGGGAGGGCGAAGATGAAGAGAGAGAAGAGGAAGAAAGAAGCGGCATGGGGAGCGGAGGCAGCCGGCCGAATAGACGGGCTGTCGTCACATCAGGTTCTGGAAGCAGGCGCAGTGAAGACCACGATGCTGATGACGAAGGTGACGGGCGTTTGGAAGACAAGAGCAACAGCAACAAGACGAGAAAAAGACAAGACTCAGACGATGAAGAGGACGTTGAAGATGAGGACGAGGAGGAGTTCCCCTCACAAGCAAACTCTCCTCCCGTTAAAGAAGAACCCCAAGGTGGAGAGGCTTTTTTAGACATGGAGAACAGCGTGGCCCAGGACTACGTCAGCAAACAGGAAGAGCTAGAAGAGGAGGAGGAGGAGGCTGAGGAGGCCAAGTGTCAGCCCCCTGCTGCTGACCCTCAGCAGGAGGAGAGGAGACGCAGAGAGCAGGAGGAGTCTGCTGCAGCAGCTGCAGCAGTGGAAACTGTCACGGCCATGTCTGTTCCTTCAGAACCCATGCAGCTGCAGCCTCTACACCCAGACGACAAAGATGTCACCATGTTGATGGAGCCCCAACGCCCACAACCACACTCCCACCCTCATCCGCACTCAGACTTCAAGGAGGAGCTGGGACACCATCACCCACATCACCAACATCAGCACTCCAACGAGCTGGACCTGGAGACCATGCAGGCGGTCCAGTCCCTGACGCAGGGGGAAGCCCAGGACGAAGAGGCTGAGCCGCAGCCGCATCACGGCGCTTACCAAGACTGCGAGGAAACCTTGGCTGCCTGCCGCACCCTGCAGAGCTACAGCCATGCAGGAGAGCCAGAAGAGGAGGCGCTCGCTTTAGCGGAGGAGTGTGGCACTGCGCAACACAGCAGCCCCCTCCCTAACGCCCCAGTGCCACCTCTGCCCAGTCAGTCTGTGCACTCCGCTAACAGCCCCGGGATGTCCTCTGGCATTGTGGACGCAACACCAGCAGGACAGAGAGGAGGAACGCCTGGTCCCACAGCATCAGGGGGAGCCAGCAGCACTGCCAGCAGTGGTTACACCCAGATCACACCAGAGCATCCCAGTTCCCTGTCTGCCCCCTCCCAGCAGAACATGGAGACGTCTCCCATGATGGATGTGCCGTCTGTGCCTGACCACTCTCAGCAGGTTGTGGACAGCGGCTTCAGCGACCTCGGCAGCATCGAAAGCACGACAGAAAACTACGACAACCCCAGCAGCTACGACTCCACCATGGGTGGTGGAGGCAACGGAACAGGAAATGGGGGTAATGGAGGAGGGATGTCGGCTGCTGTGGGAGCTCCAGCTCCCACGGCTTCGTCTTCATCGTCCTCTTCCTCCACCTCAGCCACCCCATCCTCTTCCTCTCAGACCAACAGCTGCTCCTTTGCCCAAACTCCCAGCCTCACATCTTCAGCAGGAAACGGGGGTTCCCAGCTGGCCATGGGCAGCTGTAGTCTCATTCAGCAAACAGGACCAGGGCCCAACGGGGGCCCAGCTTCTGGTAATGTGGGCAGTGCTGTGCCCCAGCCTCCACCGCCCCCTCCACCCTCCAACACTCCCAGCTGTGGCATCAAGTCCCCTCAGAGCTGCAGCGTCATCGAGAGGCCCCCCAGCACCAACCAGCAGCCGCAGCCACAGTCCCAGAAGAAAGTTCCTCAGCAGCAACAAGCCCCCAACCCTCAGCCCCCACCCACCGCCCCACCACCCCCACAGCAACAGGCTTTGTCCCAGTGCAGCATGGGTAATGGCTTTGCATCCACACCCATGATCATGGAGATGACGGAAAGCGGTAGTGGAGGAGGGGGACGCACCCTCTACGAGCGTATGGGTCAGGACTTTGGTACCACAGGCTACCCCCAGTCCACCGCAACATTCAGCTTGGCCAAACTCCAACAGCTGACCAACACCATCATGGACCCTCATGCCATGCCCTACTCCCACTCTGCCTCCGTGACCTCCTACGCCACCAGCGTTTCCCTGTCCAACCCCGGGCTTGCCCCCTCCCCTCACGCATCTCTTCCTCAGGGCCAGCCAGCTATGACTGGACCTCCTAACCTTAGCTCTGGCTCTATGAACCTTGGTTCGCTGCAGCTGCAGTGCAACATGCCAGCCACCAACATCAGTTTGGGTCCCCCCCACACGCAGCGGCTGCAGACCCAGATGGCTACGGTCAAAGGTCACATCTCCAATCGGTCCAAAGCCACTCAGCAGCTGGCCCCGGCCCCGCACCAGCAGCAGCTCTACGGCCGCAGCTCAGGGGTCGTGGCCATGCAGGGCACGCCGCGCACCTTGACAGTGCAGCGCGGTATGATGCCAAACCTCATGCCCACGCCGGCACCCTACAATTCCATGAACATGACACCTCTGAACGCCATGTCGGCCAGCTACCGGATGCCCCAAACCATGATGAACAGTGGCTATCACAGCAACCCCGCTTACATGAACCAGCCAGCTCAGTATCCCATGCAGATGCAGATGGGCATGATGGGAGGCCAGGGTTATGCCCAACAGGCTATGCAGCCCAATCACCATAGCAACATGATGTACACTGGCCCCTCCCATCACAGCTACGCTGGAGTCCCAAAACAGTCCCCGTACATGAGCAGATGAGCTGGCAGGAGCCGATGTAGGAGACGTGGAGCCAGAGTTAACCCTCGCTGTATTTTAAATGTCCGGTACTCCTCCTACCTCGTCCAGTGCCTAGGCGGGCACCAGGGAGCGTAGGTAAACGGAGATGGAGCGTGTTTGGGTTTCCTGTTTCTCTGTGCAGTAATCATGTCCTGTTTTTATCTGGACTTGCTTCTCCCTCCCCCCTCCAGCTGGCTGTGGTTGGGTTGGGTTGGGTTGGATCCCTACATGGACCCCAGCTGGGCATCAGTCTTCACACTGCTGTAGGAGGTTTCTCCTCTTCACACAGTGGTGGAGAATGGGAGGACATGAATGACCAGGAAAAAACAACTCAAGAAAACCGATCCAGGGAATACTGTGCACTCAGACTGGAACAGAAAATCTGTCTGAATATATCCAACCATGCACACAATCTTTTAACTGATATAGGAAGCCTTATCTTGGAAGAAGAGACGATGAACAGCGTAGCCGGACTGACGTTTCCTTAAACATAATGTTGAATCTTTTTTTTTTTGTTGTCCTTGTTTTTGTTGACTGTTGGTTATTTTTAATACTTGTGTGCAGTCCGACCCTTCCTATGCTTCGGTCTTTATATGTGTGGCATTCTGATAATGGCAATACACCTTCCTGCTCTCAGAATAACCCCCGAGCGTTTGTGAGGCTGCTGGGTCGGACAGCTTTTCACTTATTCCAGACGAGTGTGGGAGCAGGGACTCGTGCTGCGGAGTTGGTGTTGAGCGCTTTCCGGAGTCTCCGTCTTCCCACACGGACAGTGTTGTACCAGAAACACAGGAAGACACAGAAGAGACTAGTGTTACTATTATATATCCATAAATGAAACGAGTAGCATTATTTTCTAGGTTTCTGCCACTTTGGAACTTGTAGATGTAAATACTCTGGTACTTCCCAACAGATAACACACACACACACAAACTGAGCAGCTGTTGCCAATCGGTGGCTAGCTCAGGGTAAGTCCAACATTCAGCTCTTTTTATGTTTTGCCCACGCTCTGCTGACAGAACCGGGTCATACAGTGTTGGGTCTTTTTAGCAGCTTAGAAAAAGCTCATTTCCATTGGACTGCTCCGAGTGGGTTCCCTCTGGAGGAGCCCGCTGTTTTGTTTTTCTCCGCAAAAGTCTGCACTCCTACTGACTAGACATGGGGCAGCATTCAGTCCGCCTTTGTGAAAGGTGCCTAAATGCCCGCTCTAGTGCACGGACCGGCCCTCACATCGAGGCGCACTTATGAGAAGCAAGGTTTGGGGCGAGTGAGTGTCGGCAGGCTCATGAATGGTTGGTGTTGTTGCTCGTGTACCAGTATTCAGAATAAAAACGGGAGTTAAAGTTTCCCTACAGACGTCACATGCGTTCTCTGCGTGTATTCTTCTGTTCTTTGTTTGTTTGTTTCTGAATTTTATCAGACGGGCAGCTTTATTTTATGACGCAAGCTGACTCCTTTTGTCTTTAGAAAACTATTGTAGAGAAAATGTTTTTTTCTATAATATAAAAAGAAATCCTGACATCGATATTGGTACTGTCATTTTTTTCTGTTTTGTTTCAGGAAATGACGACGAGAAAAGAACATATTTTTTAGCTCAATTCTTGGGTAATGATTACTAAGAAACTCGAAATGTAAAAAACCATCACTTTTAGTGACTTAAGATGCCTTTAACCTTTCCATTCCATCTCATCTCTAGAGTTTTTCTATCTTTGTGTAGTATATCAATGCTATTTTAAACAAAAGGACTACAAATATCTACAGGTCACTTGGCATTTTTCTGTTGTTTTTTTTACCTGTGTGTGTATAGGATGATTTCCCTACATCTGAGAGGCATGTAAAAACGAGCTCCGTATATTTGTCTGTTTATATTGCTTCCCTTTTGTATCCTTTGTAATTGTACATGTTGCGTTGTATGCTGAGAGAGAGAGAGAGCGCAAAATAAAGAGACGGTTGACCGCTGGGCACGGGGAGGGTGGAGTTGCTCAGCCGCCCCAGCTCTCTACTCTGGCCCTGTATGTATTTCCATTTATTCTTTTTTTTTTTTCTTTCTTTCTTAGCAAGAACTGTACATTTTAACATAAAATGAAAATAAATTATGTTGAGCCAGTTGTGTTTTTCCCTTTTTATGAAACAAACCACTGCCCAGTTACATTCACTCCTTCATGTATCTACTCGGACCTTTGCCACAGATGAAATATTTACATTCATATTAGTTTTTAGCTTGTAATATTAAAAAATTACCATGTCACGCTCTTGCTGGAGATGAAACGTGGACTATGAACTAATTTGGATCTACATGGAAAAAAATCCTTATGATGCAAAACACTATAATAAAAACTTATTGGAAGTGTTCAGAGATACCTGAAGACATGTTTTATTCTGGTTGGTGTGAGTGATTTTTGCACGCTAATCTGCATAAAATAACCTCATATCAGTGTATTTTTACCTCAAGAACATATTGTTCAATTGATGCTGTTTTTTTTATCAGTATTTCATAGTTTATTGTTGCACCTCTTTCCAGTTGCCCTGTATCTTGATTTATTACTTGAAAAGAGGTAACTGGGATTTATTCAAACAATAACCTAGACCAGCAGGAAATGATTGAGCTCATCTGCTTGGAATTCTGACAGACACACACGGTATCAAAACGCTAAGTTATTTTTAAATTTACAACCAATAAATATTTACTCACCTGAGAGCTCCAGCCCCCCTGCTTTATATTTCTCACCTGCTTTACTAATAAATCTGCTGTGAACAGCTGCAACCACTAGGTGTCCTTGTGGACATTTTCTGCCATCATTACCAAATCCACACTTGCAGGATCTCACAACTTTGTTTTTGCATTTAGCAGATTTATAAATAACCTGAAATGCATTTTTTTGGTCAGTGAGAGAAGATAAGTAAGGTTTGTTTATGTAGCACTTATCACAGATAGAAAAATCTCAAAGGAAAGATCATAAAGTCCAAAACAACAGAAAGTCACATTATACAGATGAAGACAATAAAAGATTTAAAGTAAAAGCAACTTAAAATAAAATGATTTTCAGCTGCTTTTTAAATGTGCCCAGACTGTCAATAATACATAAAAAATAAAGGAAGTTCGTTCAGGTGAAACTGGAAAACTAGAATATGGTGCAAAAGCCCATTTATGTCAGTAACCCAATTAAGACTGAGAGACCATCTAAAGGCCCAGGGACCCTTTGCTGGTGTTCTGGATTCATCAGCTGATCAGAGTGTGACACTTTGAGTCTAGAATATTGAAACTTTTCACAATATTCTAATTGTCCAAGATTTTGAATGTGGGGATTTCATCAGCTTATAGCCTGAATCATCGCAGTTATAACAAATAAAGGCTTGAAATATCTTGCATCGCATGGAATGAGTCTGTCTCATTAATTAGTTTAACTTTTTTAAGGGGAATTATTGAAACAAACGAACCTTTGCGCCATATTCTAATTTTTCAAGTTTCACCTGCATGTACAGTATCTATTGGAAGGTTCCTGTGGCTTTATTTGGGAATTTGAAATGTGTTTCTTCTATCTTAATTTGGTTATTAAAATATAGTTTTTCATTTTTAAATAATTTCTATTTGCCCTTCAAGTATTATCATTACAATGTATAATATTTATAGATTATATAATTCAGCTGTTAATGCTAATAGACTTTTTTAAGTGGTATATTTTATTTTGAAGGAAATAGTGTTTTTATTTTCACCTTGTGACCACCAGAGGGCGTATATTCAGATTACAAGTAATTCAATTAAAAGCGAGCAGTTTCACACTCCAGTGCACCTGTTCGTTCTATTTCGTCTAGTCTTAGCCCTTAAGCTAGCTGCTATTGGAAGAATGATCTCAGCATCAGCCAATCATGAAGAGCTTAAATGTACGCCCACCAATGGTGGGCACCCTTGTGGGTATATAAGTGGAGCGACTCCACTGTTGGCCTCCGTTATCTCTTCAAGCCAAGCTTACGAGCTTCCTTTAAAGAGCAATTATCCAAGAGCATTAATCTACTCACCTACCATGTCCAGCGACGCCAGGACCTGCCCGGCCTGCCAGACGGCTCCATCTCCAGCGGCGACCTGCACGCCAAGTGTGAGGTCTGTCTCGGGGCTCATCAGCCTGGCCTGGGCTTGAGCCCTCAGGCCGCGTGCCCGTTTTGTGCCGCTCTGCTCAGGGGCGGATTAAGGACTGAAGAACATCCGGGGCTTAACACACGCACGCGCGCACACACACACACACGTGACACGCACTAGTCAACATCATATATTTCTTGTACCACATAATTTTTAAACTGAAGCTACATATTAAGCATTTTCAGGGCAGAGTATTGTTCCTGTTAGTGTTTAGTGTGAGATGATAGTAAATATTCCCTTTCTTTCTCCATCAACTTTACCTGATAGTAAGCTAACTTTAGGCAAACCAGCAGCACAACAAATATTTTCAAATAAGACTCACAAACCTGAGTCAGCACCAGTCTCATCAAAGCTGGGGTTCTGTCGTTGTACTTTTGGTCTAAAAAACGTCCTTATGTCCATCTTCACTCATGCGTTTCAGGCAGAGAGTGCAGAAGAAGCCGGCTGCTGAAGGGCTTCTTCTTCAGTGGTGGAGGCTCAGGCAGGCTGTATACAAACTACTGCCAGCTGCTCCCTCTCTGTTGGACTTTGGTACTGCATGTTAGTCTAATGAGCTTTGAAAGAAACAGACATACTGCATGTTACTTCCGCGATTTACATCCGGGGCTTCCTCTGAAACATTCGGGGCTTCAGCCCAAGTAGCCGGGCCTAACGCCGCCCCGGGCTCTGCCCATGGCTGAAAAGATCAGCTGAGTCGAGTACTTCACCCCCCGCCGCCGCCGAGGAATTTCCGGTGGCTAACACGTACTCGCTGGACAAGGCCTTATAGTTCTTCAGCGTCGGCCAGGGGCCGGCTGGCTTCAACCGACTGGACGATGTCATCGACAGTGAGGAGTACGACGAGGCTGGCTGCCATAGCCCTTCTTCCCTCCTGGACAACACAGAGGTCGACGAGCCTCGCTCAGCGTGTCCTTCTGCTCCAGTGACTTCTCGCTCCTCCCTGCCAGCAGTTAAAGCACTGCTCCAGGAGCTGCCTGCCATCATCTCAAGGCAAGGGGCTAGCCGTGCCTGAAGCAGATGATTTGGCGGGAATTTTCGGGGCAACACAGACGCGCTGTCCAGACCTCATCTGGCCACGCTTCCCCGCTGCTATGAGCTGCTGGTCCGCCGCCTTCTCCGAACCTGCTAAGCTCAAGGCGCCAATTTCCACATATGAGCCCATTACCAAGGTCGAGACCCATTACCAAGGTCGAGGGCTTCTCCGACCAAGGCTGGCCATCCGTTCCTCCACTGGAGCCGGACTTGGCTTCGCTGTTTTGCGCCAAGAACCACCTCGCTGGCCCGGGAGAAGTTCCCGCTTCTAAGCATGACCAGCTGCTGACGCGGCTCACCGATCGCGCACACCAGTGCGCCTTCCAGACTGGCGCTGCAGGAAATAACATCGCCCTTCTTGCCTTTGGCGTTTCCAAAATGGTGGAAGAGCTTGATGCTCCTGACGAGTCAAAAACCATCATTACTAAAACTGCTGATGCCATTCTCAATCTGTGCGCTGCTGTACTCACCGGTTCTGCTCGCATTGCTGCCTGGCAGACCCTTATCCAGCAGGTCTTGTGGCTCAAGGCCCTGCCCTCCATTCCTGAACACCTGCAGAGGGAGACGCTGGAAGGCCCCATCACCTCTGACGTTCTGTTTGGTCCCCATCTTAGGAGTGTCATCGAGAGGGCTCAGAAGACAGCTGAACTGTCAGCCACGGTGCGAGACCTGGTCCACCCTCGGTCAGCCTCGCACTGCGGCCGTTTCTCCAGAGGATGGGATGAACGGCGCGGAAACTTCAGGCGCCCAGCTGCACCGCCCGTCCCACGGAGCCGGCCTCCCACTTCGGCTCCACCTCAGCAGGACCAGAGAGTTGGCGGCCAACGGTTTAGAAAGAGCCAGCAGACACCGTATTGGCAGTCACAGTGACAGGAACCTCGCCGAAAGCAACCACGAAAATGACTCGTTGGGGGAATGTGTGTGCTTCTGACTCTAATAACTCTGTGAATGATTTTGGTTTTGAAATAAAACCCAAAAAATGTCACATAGAGAGCACAATCCTACAGTCCTCTGCAGAATCTTCACACATGTTCCCCACACCAAGCACTGCGACACATCTGCATGTCAGTCATATTACACGGCCAGCTGTACGAGTGTGCTCCATTTGCGCACCGGCCCTAGCTTCCAGCCAGGCCTGACACATTCTGCTTCCCCCACAACGTTGGGTGGGACGGGATGTCATGACGCTGTCGCGACCACTCGCAGCGACAGTGCGCGGCTCCATCCGCTGGCACTTTGTCATCCCCGTGCACGGGCCCGGCTCCCACTCGTCCTTTAACTGTGGACTCCACGCTCCGCGTTGCGGATCAGCCTCTTCCAGCTGTTTCACACTCGCCCTTTCGAGGGCAGCCCTCCATGGGTCGCTCCCAGTTCTCTGGTGTGAGCGACGGCGGTAAGGGCGTGAACCCAGTCCTCAGACGTCGTTCACGTGACCTCGAACACGCGTCCGCTGTCGGAACGCGCGCAAGAATGGCGCCGCCTTTGTCTCATGAGCAAATGGATATCGGAGACTATTCATTACAGTCACACACTCCATTTTCAGTCCGCTCCTCCTCCCTTCAACGGGATTGTGGAGATGACGTTCACGTCACAGGAACAATCTCAGGCCCTGGAGCTGGAGCTGCGGGAACTTCTGTCCAAGGATGCCATTTCCCAAATCCTTCGCGGACAAGAGCTCTCAGGCTTCTACTCCCGTTATTTCGTAGTACCGAAGAAGTCGGGAGGAATGAGACCAATTCTCGACCTTTCCCTGTTCAACTGCTCCATAGCAGTGATGCATTTCCGCATGTTAACAATGAGGCAAGCCCTAGAATACATGCGCTCCGGGGACTGGTTCACGTCAATAGACCTGAAAGACTTATACTTCCACATCCCAGTAATTCCCAAACACCGGAAGTTCCTGCGCTTTTCATTCAAGGGAGTTCAATACCAGTTCAAT